GGTCTCCCTTGTATGCATGTGGATATTAATCTATCACTGACATTGTTTTGGGGATAAATCTTGAAATGTTATTTCTGATAATGAATGCAACTCCATTCCTCTGCAATTTGTCATTTCTGACAAATAGATCGTATGATCTTCTTAATTAAAATGGCCAATACCAGTCCCTCACAGCTCACTTAAAGCTAAGACATTTAAATTTATGCATTGTATTTCATTTTTTTATAATTTCCAATTATCTTAGATTCTTTCTTTGTGTATTGTAGGTTACAAGTTATTAAAGGACGTCTGTGGCCATTTCATATCATTTTGAGTCTTGCAACATCAGCAGGTGAAGATCCTTCATAGGGTGAAAGTTTTACTCCATCAGAGTCACTAAGATAAGCTCTACCTTAAGGAGGCAACCCTTCTCGAGTTGCATTTCGAGCATCTTCCAGTCTGAGGGACTAATCTTCCAGCATAATATTCAACCCTGTTCCAAGGTTATTTTTAAGGCCCTGTTATTTCAAAAGCGGATGGCCAGTACTGCTCCTTAATCTGTCTTAGTGTGGAAGCTCTACTGAAGCCTGTCCACCATGAGTGACCTTGCTGGTATTTCAAATATGAGTGGCTTAACTCGTTACTAGCACCTCAGCCTGACATCTAGAATCTAGCCACCACAGTACAGCAAACTGACAGGCAAGTGGTGGATTACCTTTTAGTTGTGAATTGTAGGGAGGTCTGGGCTCACTTGGGAAACATGATGGGATACCTGCAAGCAAGCATACCCTGGCAATGACCATTTACTGATGGAAGGAATTACACTAATAACCAAAAGGCTGTGTCCCCAGCTGCTATGAGGGACTAGTCCTTGAAGAAGACCATCATGCCTGGAAGGGTGGAGGGACAATGCAGGAGAGGGAGATTCTGGATGAGATGGTTTGATACAGTAACCGGAGTAATGGAGGTAGGTGTGTTGGAGGCAGTGAGATTGACTCAGGATAGAGTAGGGTTCAGATCTACTGTGCATAGAGTCACTATGAGTTTCAGTTGACTTGATGGCATAACAAACACCACCACCATGGGAAGAAGGTGGTCAGTATTCTCCCTTACAATTTACAGCCTCAGAAATCCAATGGAGCTAGAACCAACTAGATCATCATGAGTGAGCATGCATTCAGAGCAGTGCTCACCTGCTGGCAACTTCCTTGGTCACTAGCACTCAAAATATAAAGACTTCATAGATAGGGAAGGTCTGTAATAACAGCTGACGGGAATGGGAAGAGGAGCTGAGTGTTGCCAAAGTCAGTGAATTTGTAGCATTTCCTCTGCAGCGGTTCTCATCAGACTGGGTTCAGACATGTAGACGATCCAAGCCCAGTGGGGACCTTAGAAAAATAGCTGATCCAGATGGATGAGGGAGCCAGAGAGGATGCTGACGGGTCAAGGAAGTAAAGCCGTTGGACAAGGGCAGGCAGAGAGCAGGGGTGGTCTAGTGGTAGGCCTGTATCTGTGAACACCTGGAATGAGGCTAACCTTGACTGAGGTGTGCTCTAAGTATAAACACCTGATTTTGAAGACTTACTACAAAGTACCAAAACCATTGCCCTTGAATTGATTCCACCAAATAGTGTGGTCCTACAGGACAGAGTACAACTGTCCCTTAGGATTTCCAAGGTTCTAATCTTTATGGACAGAGTTCTGGTGGCACAGTAACAAGATGGAGTTTTGGTGGCACTGCAATCGCAAAATCACGTGGTTCAAGTCCACTACCTGTCTGGGGGAGAAAGATGGACAATCTTTTCCCACATGAGTAACTGCTTCTGAAAACTCACTGAAGGGTCAGCTATGGGTTGGTTCTGATTCAGTGGTACACAACACAACAACAGCAATCTTTATGGAAGCCTCCTGTCATAGTCTTCTCCCTCAACACAAATTGTTATGTGCTGTGTATTGTCCATCCTTCTTTTAAGAGCAGCTGTTGAATTAGAAATGTGCACCTTTAGGTTGACCAGGGGAACATTGTTAGCATAGTGGCAAGAAACTGCACTGCAATCCCAAAGGCACGCGGTTTGAGGCCACCAGCTGCTTTACAGGAGAAGGATGGGCAATATCCTCCCGTGTGATTAACTGTCTCTGAAAACCCACCAGAGGATCAGCTAGGATTGGTTCCAACTCTACAATACACAACAATAAGTTTGCCATTGCAACTTCTTGCAAATCAGCCATCAGAGCTCCTCGAGTACAAATTGTTGTGGTTATGTGCTGTTGAGTCTCCTTCAACTCATAGCAACAGTATGCACAACAGCTCTGAACCTGCCCTATTCTGAGTCAGGTTCAGTGTCTCCAACACACCCATTCTATTACCCCAGATATTGTGTCAATCCACTTCATGCAAGGTGTTCGTCTCCTGCACTGTCCTTCTACCATTCCAAGTATGATACTCTTCTTCAAGGACTGGTCCCTCTGGTCACACGCCCAAAGTATGTGAGGTGGAGCTTCAAAATCCTTACCTCCAAGGAGCAACATGGTTTTACCCTCTCCAAGATAGACCTATTGTTCTCTTGTTGGTCCATGGAATGTTCAATATTTTCTTCCAGCACCACAGCTCAAAGCTATCAATTCTTCTTTTGTCATCCTTGGTCATGGTCCAGCTCTCTGATGCATAACAAGTAATTGTGAAGACCATTGCCTGTATCAGGCTCACCTTAGTCTCCAGACTGACATTATTGCTCTTTAGCACTCTGGAGAGGTCCCGGATGACACATAGACACAATGCAATTTTTTTAAAAATTTATTTCCTCACTGCTGGTGCCAAGGGTGTTGTTTGTGGAATAAGCAAGCTAAAATTGTTAACAATTTCAGTCTCTTTTTCATCTATTATAGTGCTACTAATTGGCTCAGAGGTGAGAATGTTTTTTTTTATGTTGAGCTTCAGTCCATATTGAAGAATACAGTCCTTGACCTTCTGCAGCAAATACTTCAAGTCCTCCTCATTTTCGGCAAGCAAGGTTGTGTTTTCCTCCAATTCTGATGCCGCATTCCTCCTCATAAAGTCCAGCCTCCCAAATGATGTGTTCTGCATATAGATAGAAAAGATATGGAGACAGAATGCATTCCTGATACACTCCTTTCCTGATTTTGAGCCATGCAGTGCTTTCTTGCTCTGTTCTGAGGACTGCTTCCTGGTCTGAGTGTAGGTTTCCCAGGAGCACAATCAAGTTGTTCTGGGATTCCCATTCTTGTTAAGGTTAACCACAATTTGTTGTGATCCACACAGTCTTTGCATAGAGTAAAATATCTCATAAATAAGAGTAATACTACCTTCACTTTATATATGAGGAAATGGAAGCACAAAGAAGTATTTATTATGGGCTAAATTGTGTGTTCTTTTCTGGCCTTTCATCATACTAGTATGTCTGGAGAAGAGTATTGAATATACCATGGACTGCTGGGAGAATAGAGAGATTGGTTTTAGAGAGGGTGACTCCTTGGAGGCAAGGATTCTGAAGCTTGGAATGACATATTTTGGACATGTTGCAAGAAGGGACCAGTCCTTGGAGAGAGACATCATGCTTGGGAGGGTGGAGGGACAGTGCAGAAGAGGAAGACCCTTGATGAAATGGATTGATTCAGTGACTGGAGCAATGAGGGTAGGTGTGTCAGAGACAACAAGATTGGCAAAGGATAGAGAAGGGTTTAGGGCTGTTGTACATAGGGTCACTGTGAGTCACAAGATGACTTGACAGCGCATAACAACAACAAAACAACAACAACAGTGTGTCTGAGTCACAAAAGCAGAATAGACAGACTGGGGATAAGCAGATGCCATTTGAGGATTGCCTATGAACCAAGGCATCCCGAGAAATCAGGGAACACCACCGATTACAAGGAAGAGATCAACACGCCCAAGACTCTAAGATGGTAATCCTCTAGGAATGTGAGATAACAAAGACCTGATTTTTAAAACCTGCTGCTTGTGGAGTTTGTGTTCAAACAGCATTACACAACTCAGACAAGAAAGAGGTTAAAGACTGTGTCCAAGATCACCCACCTGCACTGGAACAGAAATCCGTGTCCAGGCAGTGGGACTCCAGAACTCACACTTCTAGTCGCTAAGTTTTGTTTTCTAAAGGCTAGAATGGGCTTGTCAGGTCAGGACGCAGTGTCTTCCTTCTCTCCCTGAGGCAGTGCAGAGAAAAGAAGGGGGTGGGATGTGCAGCTAAGAAAAACATGCAGGCAGACAGACTTCCTGGATAGAGAAAGGGGAGGCTTTGAGATAAGAAAGGAGGCAGAGGATGTTCAGATAAGCCATCTGGTTTGAAAGGTCTCAGGCTCCCCAAAGTGACAAAATAGTGATAAAAGCACCTGGCTGTATTAAAGAGTTAATTAAAAAAATACCAACTGTCTTAAAAGAAAAAGACAATTTATGTAATTATGGTCCTTAGGGAAAATCAACAATTATTTCAAAACACTGGCAACACAAAATAATAATCCCCCCAAAAAATCCCCCAAAACACAAGCCAATAACAAAAACCAACAACAATGGCAAAAGGTCACCTTGGCATTTAGATCTTGCAATTACCTTATTACCACCTGGTTAACGGACTACCTAAATTCATGGAAGTTTCTTTGGAGAGCAAAAAACCCCTTTGAAGCTTAATTTGCAAAACAAATAATGAAATAGCAACATATGTGGCAGTAACAGTGCTTCTTGCCTCCATCCCTCCCCAGCATTTGTCAGGCTATCAGGTGTGAACCCAGCAAAGGGAAAGCCCTTCTTTAGGATTCCTAACTCATTTCACACCTGTACTTTCTGTGAACACATATATTTCTGTTTATTTGTATTTTAGCTTATGATGTGTTTTAGAATTGGATCAAACCTGTTTGGTCCCACCTGACTCCTAGAGTCCTAGCACAGGTAGGTATACATTTAAAAAATCAACTTGATGGCTTCCTGTGAGGCAGCTGCTCTAAATCAAGGGCTATATTTAGAAAGAGTTGGCTGTTAGGAACAGTACCTCCCCTTCCCCACCACCACTGATGACCCTTTTACAGTCACTGGTGGTAGCGATGGCTGTCACTCCGATCCTGTGAGCATTGTTGATGACATATATCAGCCGGCCTGTCTCTGGGGCGAAGGCCCGGATTCTACCATCATTCCACGCTGACATAAAAGGGGAAAAAAAAATAAGCAGGGTCAGTGTACTTGCCCTCTATCCACGCGTTCTTCTGTAAGTCCTCAGTGGGCATCACAAATGGGGGTCGTGATGGTGATAGAGGAAGCTCTCACCAACTGTCAGTAGTAATTACATCCCCTGTCCCCTGATACCCAACTTGGTTGAGGGTAAAGAATCCCCTGTCCCCTGATACCCAACCTGGTTGAGGGTATAGAATTGTTTGTCTTGGACGAATCTGCTTGCAGGTGTATCTCCCCCAGGTTAGGGAGAGAAGGAAAAAAGGATTTAGGGAGGGTGGCTCCCATCTCGCCTTGAGCTGCAGGCCTGTACATTCAACTGTCTAATTGCTATTGTCTCTAGACAGGATGTATAATTTCACATTTTCTGATGAAGCAAAGACTTTTCGCTCTACATCCTTAACTCTGATGCCCTTAAACTACATCTTCATAGAAGTTGTCATTCATTCACACAGGTGCTCAAGCCAAGAACCTCAGAGTTATACTTGATTCCTCTCTAGTCCACCCTCCCCACTATACACACATATTCAATCTTCCCATTGGTTCTGCTTTTAAAAAACATCCAGAATGTGCTAATTCCTTAATCCTTCCATTGACACCACCCTCTTTCAAGCCACCACTGTCATCTCTCTTGGCTTATTATAGGATATTTCCTCTCCAGCTTCAAGTCTTGCCCCCCAGTACTCAGCTGTCTACCAAAGATTTTCCCACTGCCCTTAGAACAAAAATCCAAATGTCTCTCTCCTATCCAGTAACTAATATGAACCTGCTACCTACCCTTTCAACCTCCTTTACTACCGCTCAAGCTCACAACATCCTGGCCTGGTGATTGTCCACCACAGGCCCTTTGCACTTGCTGATTGGAATACTCTGCCCATGGCAAGCTTTAGTGCCACTTCTCAACCAATTTTAAGTAGGATACTCAAGGTAGACCTCATTTCAAGGATTTGAAGGAACTGGGTGAGCCATAAGGGCATCTGGGGAAAGAACACTGCAGACAAAACAAGTATGGCTGGAGGAAGTGAGTAGTTAAAAATCAGAGCTAAGAAAGTGGAGATGGCAGAGAGAGATCACGTAAAATCTTTTAACCTTGTGGAAACTTCACCCTTGAGCCTTAGAAATGGCATAACTTACCTTACCTTGAAAAAGACAACAGACCGGAGAATGGTAAGAAGCTATTGGTGTAACATGAGAGAGAGCTGAGCCTGATTAGGACCATGGTAGAGCTGGCAAGAAGTAGTGGAATCCTGGATACATTTCGAAACTAAAGTCTTGAGAAGCACACTTTAGATGTGGGTATAAGAGAGAAAAGAGGATGCCCACCCCAAGATTTTGAACTTGACAGTTTGCTACTTGTAAGTGTAATGTAAACCCAGAGTTCTTGTGACCACTGTGTGAAGACATGCCTGAGAGAGATGCCAGCATGGAGGAAACAGAGTCAAGAAAAGAGGGCATGAGATGGGCACTTAGCTGCCCCTAAAACCCTCCTCCTTCTTGACTATTCATTGACGTGAACCAGTGGATTTACTTTCTGACAACTGAAAAACTTTATATACATTGTTGTTGAGTACCATCAGTCAGAAGTGACCCCTAGGTGACCCTCTAGCAGGTTTTCAGAGGCAGGTAATCATACAGGAGGAGATTGCCCATCCTTCTCCATCCTTATATAAATTGGACATAAGAAAAATATTTTTAAAATCATTATTTAATAAGAGAATATTATTTTTTGAGCTGTATACTAAAGTATTTGGAGATGGAATATCATGGTATTTATATAACATTACTATATAATAATAATGAAAAAGAAAGAAATTGCCTTAGGGATAATTTGATTTGGGTTTTGGTTTGTTAACTAATTTTTTAAATGTTTACAATCTATTGGGCTTTCACTCAATCATTCATATACATTTTATTCCATAACATTAAGTATAATTGAGTAATAGAATAAATTAATTATAATTTCTAATCAACCCTTTATTAGCTATTTCCCTTCACTGAACCATTATATATTTATTACGTTTTATTCCTCTCTCCCTTCCTTCTCATTCCTGGGAACCGTTGGTTTTGATTTTTATCTCATCTATTCTTTTTTGTGTGCCTTGCATGCAGTAAGTCCTCAGATCTACCTCTAAACTAAGTTACTATGTTTCTCTGTTCCAGAGAATAATACCTTCTGTATGTAGCAATTTAGGAGAAGAGGAATTGCATTCCCTTCTTTGTTCATGTGGCCTCCCAGCTGGAGCAGAATACAAAGTAAGGGCTAGATTAGAGGAAAGGAGAGGATGGGTATTGGAATGCTGCCAGGGAATTCCCACGTGAGGACTACTGTAGAAAGCGGAACTCTGAACCAGTTCAAACCAATTTGGTCATGACCTATGAAGCAAAGTCAGAACAGATGCAAATTTTAAAAACTGAGGTGAAGTAGAACAATAATTGGGACAAAACTCCCTACGGGTCCAAATCCTGGAATGGGAAGCTTGGAAGAGGCATAGCGAGCACTTTAGCATTGCCAGGACTGTGGCTTGTGACACATAGGAGACTCATCTAATCTGCCAAAATCTTTGAGGCGACATCACTGTTTCCAAGTACGTCAGTTAAGACATTTAGTCCTTATGCAACACACATGCTGCCCTTGTTCTCTGAGAGGTTTAAGTTTCTAGCAGGATGACAACTCACAACTTTTCCTGTTGTGGTTTTTACAACCAGAATCCACATTTTGCAAAATCAGATCTGTTCAGGTGCGCTTCAATGGCATGGCTGAACTGGTAGAAAGAGAACAAGAATCAAAGCCATGGCTGGAGAAAGAATGTGAATCTTGACAGGTGGGTGTTACCTGAAATGATGCTCTTCCCATCTCTCATGAAGTTGATGGCATGGCAAGTCATGTTGGGCACAGTGATCCGCAGCAGCTCCCGGCAGGACAGCGTGTGCCAGACCCTGATGTCTGTCTTGGCACAGGTGGCAAATAGCTCGTCAGTGCCACTGCAAAGAAGCCATCGAGAGACTGAGAGATGCAGCCATAAAAGAAACACAAGTGCTTCTCTGATGCATATTTAACATGTATTTCCCAAAAATAAAGAGAAGAGCGTGTTTTAGATGTCACTGTCTGGAGACTTGATGATCCTACAAACTTCTTGTGTAAAAATAGCATCGTATGTCCTTCAATCACCTACAGTCAATTTTTTTTGTAGTCCTTTTTTTTTAGGAAAAAATATGCCCAAAAATAAAATAGTCAATTTAAGTCTCTCAATATTCTGGTAGACTGGTGAGATCTCTTGGGATAAACACATCTGTGAAATACTTACATTAAGAGAGGCTACACAAATCCTTCTCTGCAAGTTAGACAATCTCATTATAAGTTTTTAAAAGCTTGAAAAGGCTGCTAGGATTTATATTTGCAGGCAACTCAAGCACTTTGCTTAGTTATGAGGAAATATGAGCTTGTGGGCAAGGAAGAAAATATCAGAATAAGTTAGCTGTCAGCTTTGTTATTTAAAGAATAGAAAAGAACCAATGAATCAAAAGATTTACAATTTGTTAGTGGTAGAACAATTTGAAAAATGATCAAAAATATAGTTGCACAACATGAAGTATAAAATCAATGTCACTAAATTACACATCAGGGAACTCTAGAGGCCGAGTGGGAAAAGAGTTGTGCTGCCAACTCAAAGGTAGGCGGTTTGAATCTACCAGCTATTCAAAGGGAGTAAGGTGGGCAGTCTCCTCCCATGCAATTTATAGCCTCTGAAAACCCATTACAGGGTCAGCTGGGAGCCAGTTCCACTTTGATGGCACCCAACAACAAATTAATACATGTAGAAATTGGTGAACTGACAGCTATTCCATTATTTTTTTTACCATAATTAAAACATGATTACACATTATTTCATCTTGGGAAAAAACTGAAAGGAATGATAATGAGGATGTTAGGATGGTTTCTTTAGAGAAGCAAAATCAGTGAAGTATATTATATGTACTATGCATATATATAAAAAATATACTTGACTAAAAAAAGAAAAAATACACTTGACTGATTTTGCATCTCTGGAGAATATATATTTGTCGTTGTGGTGGTGTACCATTGAGTCAGAACCCATCCATAGCTGACCCTCCAGTGGAGTTTTTTCAGAGGCAGTTAATCACACGGGAGGAGAATGCCCATTTTTTTCCTGCAGAGTAGCTGGTGGATTCGAACTGTGTGCTTTTGGGATTCCTACACAGCAAAGACCACACATTACATGGTCCCATTTATACTGTTGTTGATAGATGCCATCGAGTCCACTATGACTTGTAGCAGTCGGAGAGTAAGAGCAAGGCCCTCAGCAAGATGGATTGACACAGGGACTTAACATATCTGTGATCATGAGAACAACACAAGATAGAGCAAGGTTTCAGTATAATGTATAGAACAGGAAAATCTGTGGAGGTAGGTGATGGGTTAAAGGAAAGAGAGTGAAGAGAACATAAGGAGAATCAGGAGTTATTGCTGATTAATTCTTTTCAAGCTAATAAAAATATTCTAAAATTAGATTAGAGTAACAGTTACACAACTAGCTAAACAAATTTTTACACAATGCTAAATATACTAAAAACGATCTGAAGGAGTGTCCTTTATGATGCATAAATTATATCTCAAGAAGTCTGCTTTCTACAAAGAAAGAAAAAGAAGTATAAACCTGAACAGATCAGTAACCACATAAGCTGAGACAGTGACAGAAAAGACTGTTTATAAAAGAGCCAAAGAATTTTACAGATTCATTCCACTAAACTCCTTGGAAAAGAAGATTTAAGTATGCCACAAAGAAAACAGAGATTTTTGTTTTTCACGTAAAGATTCATATAGTGAAAAAACACCAGCTGTGTTCACTGTTAGAAGTATTTATAATCACCTACTCACTGGAACGCAACATCAAGAAAACAAAAGTTCCCATCATTGGGACAACTGGCCGCATCATGATAGATGGTGAAGAGATTGAAATTGTAAATAGCTTCAATTTGTTTGGCTCTACAATCAAAACTCTTGGTACCAGCAACCAGGAAATGAAAAGATGGATTGCATTGGGCAAGTCTGCTGTCAGAGACCTCTCCAAAATACTCAAGAGCAATGATGTCAGTCTGGAGACTAAAGTGCACTTGATACAGGCCATGGTCTTTGTAATTACTTGTTATGCATCAGAAATCTGGACAATGACAAGGGATGATAGAAGGAGAATTTATGCCTTTGAGCCTTGTGGTGGAGAAAAGTATTGAACATACCCTAAACAAACAAGTTCATCCTGGAGAGGGTGAAACCAGGTTGCTCCTTGGAGACAAGGATTTTGAGACTCCATCTCACATACTTTGGGTATGTGATCAGGAGAGACAACTTCCTGAAGAAGGACATCATGCTTGGAAGGGTGGAGGGACAGCACAGGAGAAGACGACCCTGGATGAGATGGACTGACACAGTGACTGGGACAATGGGGGCAGGTGTGTCAGAGATGGTGAGATTGACTCAGGCTAGGAAAGGGTTCAGAGCTGTTGTTCGTAGGGTCACTGTGTCATAGTTGACTTTATGGCACATAAAAACAACTCACTAGGACTCAGAATGCCCATCTCGGGATCTCAGGAGTGAGCTTTGAAAGTGAGTCTTGCTAATCTAAAGAACAATGCTCATGAGTTTTGTAAAACAAGGCTGATAATGACGATGTCCACAGCAAAAACAATCTGATCAGCTTCCTAGAGTGAATCTTGCCAATGACAAAATGTGTTTTATCATCAGCAAAATGCCAACCATGGCTGAAGATCTTTTGATGACTATTTGTTTCACTTGCTTTCTGCAGGATACTGGAGTGGGGAGAACTATATAACAATGAAAGTTTAGTTTTTTGTTTTGTTTTTTTAAATTTTATTTTATTAATTTTAATGAACATTTACAGAGATTTTGGATTTCCATTCATTCACTGTTGCACTATTTTCTCTACCCTCCCCCCCCAGTTCGTTCCTCTCTTTTTTTTCCTTGAAAGTCTATTTTAATTGTCCCATTGCCACAGTGCTTGTCAAAACCAGTTCTGATTAATTTCCTTTGTCTGTGTGTCATTTGCCATTTCTTATCACTCTTCCCTGAGAGAGACTTCACCCTGATTCATAAGGAAAAGGGGACGGCGTATTCTCTTAGCTACTTCCTGCTGAAAAGGCATGCCGTAGGTTTTAGGGTGAAGATCTTCTCTCACTACTCTAAAGAGCCCCTTTGGCAATAGGAAACACGTAGACTATTGTGGAGAATTATTTTGGAATTTAGATGCACTGTTATCAGTTGTGCTTAGCCACATATGTTCATATCCTTGAAGATGCATCATGGAACTGTTGCAGCCTAGAAGATACAAATTTTGTTTTGTTTTTTCAAAGAGAAAAGTGAACTTGGGGGGAGGGATGGGCAGGGAGGAAAATGTGCAACAATGAATGAATGGAAATCAATGTACTTTATAAACTTTCATTAAAATCTCAATTAAAAAAAATGCAGACATTGGGTCCAGATGACCTCTTATGCCCAACACCATAAGGTAAGGTGTACAAAACCTGAGAGAGCAAAGGCATAGAAACAAATGACATAAAAGAGGTTTGCATGAAGATACCACTAAGGAACACCCTCACTTCCTCCACGACAAAGAAGCCCACATTTGAACTGGAGGAAAACAAATGTAACTGTGGGTTGAAGGCAATGCTGTTGTGTTGACTGCCTTTGAGGTGAACATGACTCATAGCAAACCCATGAACAAAAGGCGTGAAGCCCCTCTATAACCATCAACATTTATCAAAGTTCATAGAGTTTCCGGGGGCATGTTGCTTAGGAAGTGGATGCCACTCCTGCTTCCAAACCTGTCATAGTATGTTATTGTTGTTATGTGCCATTGAGTCGCCTGTGACCCTGTGTTCCCTGTCCTGAGCCAGTCACACTAACTCCGACACACCAACTCACATTACCCCAGTTGCTGTATCAATCCATCTCATCCAGGATCTTCCTCTCCTATGCTATCCGTCCACACTTCTGAGCATGATGTCCTTCTCCAAGGATCGATCTCTCCTGGCCACATGCCCAAAGTAAGTAAGGTGGAACTTCCAAATCCTAGCATCTAAGGAGAGACTTGGTTTCACCCTTTTTAAGACAGACCTATTGTTTTCTTGGCTATTGAAGGCAATAGAAAAGCTATTATGATCATTTACTACCTAGACAAATTTAAGGAGAAATATTATAATTCTATTCATATACGTAAAAATGAATTCATTCCCTTGAGGTACAATATACTGAAGACTCACAATTCTACTGGTATGGGGTGAAAATGCTTCTCCTTCTACTTACAATGGAAAAACAATATCCTGGATAGCTTCAAAATGACAGGTAGCAATAAGGATCTCTTTGAAATCTGTGAAGTTGACACGATAAATGTGTGATTCTTCAGTACCCACAAAAAATTGGTGACCTTCACCTCGAAGTGTGATGGAAGTGACACTGCCTTGTAACTGGATTTTCCTGTAAGAAGAAGCAAAAACTAAGTAGATCTATTCAACCACCAAGTAATTAGTCACCTCCTAAACCATTGTTGCTAAGTGCCATCAAGCCTGTTCTAAGTTATAGTGACGCCACTGGACTGAACGGAACTGCCTGCCAGGTCTTCCTGGCTATAATTTTACATTAACTGTTCACTCTGGTTTTCCTCCTTCTCCCACTGAAAGGGATCTTTGGCAGGTAGCCTAGTGACAGCAAGCTGCGCTGCAATCCCAAAGGCACATGATTTGAATCCACCAGCTGCTTCAACAGAAGAATGGGCAACCTCCTCGCATGCCATTTACTGTCTCTGAAAACCTACTGGAGAGTCCACTATGGGTCAGTTCTGACTTGACAGCAAAGAGACACTGAAAGGTTTGACGGATTGAACTTCGCCCCTGACCACCTACAACCATTGTGCGATGTGGCTTCTTCTCTAAATCATTACAGTGTGCAAACCAAGCATTTGACCTGGGACATTGTCACAAAGAGCTGACTTATTTGTAAAGACAGGTATAGGTTTACCTCGTGATCAGCAAAGGTTAATTAGTAATTTAAGTGAGATGAGGCTTAATGTCAAGAAGACAAAGGTTCTCTCCACTGGACCAACTGGCAGCATCAGCATTGATGATGAAGAGATTGAGATTGTGCACAGCTTTAGTTTGCTTGACTGCACAGTCAACACTCTTGGCACCAGCAGCCAGGAAATTAAAAGACGTATTGCCATGGGAAAGTCTGCTATTAGGGACCTCTCCAAAGTACTGAAGAGCAATGGTGTCTCTCTGGAGACTAAGGTGCATCTGATACTGGCCATGGTCTTTGCAATCACTTGTTATGCATCAGAGAGTTGGACAATGGTGAGGATAGAAGGAGAATTGATGCCTTTGAGCTGTGGTGCTGGAGAAGAGTATTGAGGGTACCATGGATTGCTAGGAAAACAAACAGATTCATCCTGGAGAGGGTTAAACCAGGCAGTTCCTTGGAGGCAAGGATTCTGAGGCTTCATCTAACATACTTTGGACATGTTGTAAGGAGAGACCAGTCCTTGGAGAGGGACATCATGCTTGGTAGAGTGGAGGGATAGCGCAGGAGAGGAAGGCCCTCTATGAGGTGGACTGATTCAGTGACTGGGGTAATTGGGATGGGAGTGTAAGAGACAGTGCGATTGGCACAGGACAGAGCAGAGTTTAGGGCTGTTGTACATAGGGTTGCTATGAGTCGCAAGCGACTCGATGGCACATAACAACAACAACAACAACAACAATCAGAATGGATGTATTACACGGGTAGAATTTGCACAGAAAGAAGAGCCCAGGCTGGTATATGGATGCAAACGACTGTGGCAAAAACTTTTATGCTAAAGTATGTCGTTATAATTTTGCTTACGAGAATGGAAGGTTGGAAACACTCTAAACATCCAACGGTACAGAATGTTTAAAAGAGTTCTGGGGTATTGACTTCACAGAAGATTTGGCCAGTCATTACAATAATGTTTAAAAGTCCATGTCCCAATAGTGAAATGTTTATGGTGTATACATGGAGGAAAAGGTCAGGACACAAAATTTTATATGCAAAATATTCAAAACTTACTGTCAAGCAGAGGCCTACAATTTGAAATTACCTGATAATTCTGTAGGTGGGACTTTTGCAGAAGACCAACAATCCAGCTCCAGAGCCCACCAAGAGACCTCCCATCTTCAGACATTTGATAGCTGACACCCCCTGGGGGAAAAAATATCCTCTAAGAAAAAGGCCAAGTAATCTCATCATTAAAAGTCAAAGTAAGTACCATTACTAAATATTTGGATTAAACATTCCATAGAAGAAATTTGGTCAAAAGAGAGATCAGAATTCCAAATTTCCATGGAATCTAGACTTTCTGAAGTCACAAAGTTTAAATGAACATTTGAAGCTATTGAGTACCCTGAGGAAAAGTTTAAACTTCACCTAAAAATATTCCCTCACATTCTCTTAAAACGAAACAATAGTTTAGCTTAACTAGTAGAAAATGTCTGTCTTGAGCATTATGCTTTTTAAAGAACTCTTTCTGTGGGATCAAAGCAACCCCAACAGTGAGTGACATAGGAACCTTAAGAGGCAGTGAATTTATGTTCACGGAGAAGGAACAACTCAGAAAAGGAGAGTGGGAAGATCGTAACCAACGTCCCTAAATGATACATGAAGGAATTGTTGGATTTGTGTATGTTTTGTTGTGTTTAGTCTCAACAACAACAACAAAAGAAATAAAATTATGTGTTTATCAGCTCAAGCAGTATAGCCAAGGTCATGCCAGTGCTGCCACAGGGCACTTGGATGAAGTGTGTGGAGAGCTTGTCCATTCACCCTTAGGTCTGACAAACAGCTCAATCTAATATGAGCTCATGCCCACGAAGTAGCCCTCCTGACAGGCTTCACCAACATTTCTTCCCCAAACCAGTACCAGCTGCCATCAAGTTGAGTCCAACTCATTGTGTTCTCAAGGGTGTTAGAATAGAACCACATTCCATAGTGTTTTCAATGGCTAGGTTTTTGGAAGTGGATTGCCAGGCTTTTGGGTGGAACTGAACTTTTTTTTGGGTTTTTTTTTTTTAGTTATTTTTTGTGCATGTACCGTCAAATCTTCTTGTTAGAGGCCAAGTGCATAACTATTTGCATTATCCAGGGACTCCTAAAGCCCACCTGTATATTCTTAATATCTTAAAATGAACATCTTGATGCTGGCAGTTGTTGGTTGAGTCATGGCAGCCCTGTGAGCAGAATAGAACTGTTCCCTGGGTGTCTATGGCTTTGGTCCTTTAGAAATCGTTACCCAGGGCTGTTTCCCAAGGCCCCTCTGGCTGAATTTAATCTGTCCACCTTGTGGCTGATAGTTGAGAGCTTAATCTTTTGCACTACCCTTTGTACTATCTAAAACCACTTGTATGTTCTGAAAATACTGAGAATTTATACTTATATACTTACTAGCTGCTCTTTGGAAAAAATAGGGGCAATCTCTTTCCATGTGATGTACAGCCTCTAAAAACCGGCTTTAGGGTCAGCTATGGGTAGATCCATATTGCTAGGAGAACAAACAGGTTTGTCCTTGAGAGGGTGAGACCAGGTGGCTGCTTGGAGGCAAGGATTCTGAAGCTTCGCCTGACATATTTTGGACATGTTGCAAGGCAGAACCAGTCTTTGGAGAGGGATGTCATGCTTGGGAGGGTAGAGGAACAGCCCAGGAGAGGAAGACCCTCAATGAGATGTATTGATTCAGTGACTGGGATAATGAGGGTAGGGGTGTCAGACAGTAAGATTGGCACAGGATAGAGCAGGGTTTAGGGCTGTTGTCCATAGGGTCGCTACGAGTTGCAGGCAACTCAATGGCACATAAACAACAACAACATGGGTGGATCAGTTCCAATATAATGGTACCCACCAACAACAACAAATGATAGTAGTTAAGTAAGTATACAGGTTCTGGGTCCAGTCTGCCTGGATTCTAATCATAGCTTAAGTACTTGCTTGACATGAGAACTTAAGTGGTACATACCTCAATTTTCTCATCTGTAAAACAGCGTAAAAATATTTTTAACCTCATTAGGCTGTTGTGAAGACTAGTGAGATAATAGGAGAAAGGGGCTTTCCTCCACATATGACTCATATTAATCAGAATGCATAAGTAGGAGCTATATTAAATAATATTTATCATCATTATTACCATCACACCATCATCTCTATGGATAACAGGCCTACTATTCCAAGGGGACAGTGGTGGCTCAGTGGTAGAACGCTTGCCTTCTAACCAGTGGACTGGGGTTCAAGTCACAGCCAGGGAAGCTCACATGTAGCTAGCATTTGTTTGTCAGTGACAGTTACTATATGATTAAGAATACTGACATTTCCTTAGGCTACATGGTGCAATATTTCAAAGCTTCTTGGGACTATCTGCTAATTGGAAAAATATCTGAGCTTAGTTAAAACCAAATGTTCTGTTATTAGAAAAGAAACAGGCAGGTACTGAATCTAGTACAAGCATTCAAACATAAAGTTTAATAGAAACAGCCCTGGGACCTTTCTGGGGCGATAGAAATAACAACTCTTATTCCATAAAAGTTATTCTTTGATCATAGAGTCTTTTGACCTTGGTTTAAAGACACAGTCTTTCACTGTATTTTTATCTAGAATGGCAAGCAAAGCTGCAAAGATAAGCAATCTGTAATATCTAGGTCTTCCTAATGACTTAGCTGAGCAGCTGAGTAAAAAAAAAAAAATAATACAAGATCTGAGTTATATATTGAGGTTGTTGTGTACCTCAATTCGGAGGCAACCCTGTTTTCAGAGAGAGTTAATCACACGGGAGGAGATTGTCCATCTTTCCCCCATGGAGCAGCTGGTGGATTCAAACTATATACCTTCAGGATTGCAGCACAGTTCTTACCAAAAGGCCTATTTCTCTGGCAACTGGACTGCCCTTGTACTGATGCAAATTGGTCACAAATCACAAAGTCACTGGCCCTATGCCTTGGAGATATGAAAAAAGATCTGTCCAATTTCCAAACTGAGGACATTTATTTAAGCTGTTGCTGCTGAGTCAATTCTGATTCCTGGAAACACACCTCTCTCCCGACCCTGCTGGATTTAAGATAGAAGGATGTGTTCCATATGGCTGGTTTTTTGAAAGCAAATCACCAGGACTTTCGACTAAAATGCCCTCCAAGTGGACTTGAACAACCATCTTTCCAGTTAACAGTCAAGTGTATTAACCATCTGGATCACCCAGGTTCTTCTGAGGACACAGAGGAATGCTTTCATTCTGGGGATGAGGGCTGAGAGAACAAGGCAGTGCACCTTTTGTAAATTGAGGTGTGATGCTGGTTATATCACAGGCTTTTCCTTCACACACCCCACCCCCCTCCGCTCCCAGATTCTTTCTTAGTGAAAGTTTGTGAAAGGAAGAAACAGCTGCAGAACCGCAGGTCAGGGCCACGCCCGGCAGTCTCTACTCACCAGACTGAATTTTTCCTTCAAGGGGCCACTCTCCGCCAGCAGCTTAGTCCTAGGGTTCATTTTGAGAATATCTCCAGTGGTGGTGCCCAAGTAAAAAAAATTGTCATCATTGGCCATCTGGGGGACAAACCGTGAGACCCATGGTCTGCATTGGGGTGAGCTTTCCCCAAAGATCTATTCTTTTCCTCGGACCCAAAAGTGGGTTTAGGAGAGTGCTGAGAGGAGCAGAAGCAGCCAGACACAGAGCCGAAGAAAATACTGGACTTTGGTTAGCTTTGCATTTCTCTTGACGTCTGTATCTGATGTTAACAATCACACTTTCTTTTACTTGTCCTCCCTCCCTCCCCTCCTCCCTCTCTTCTGTGTGTGTAGTAGTAATTTCTAGGTAGTTGTGTATTTGTTTTTTATTTTAATCGTTCTGTGTCCATGGGTTTTTAGTTTGGCCTCCTGTCATCTGACCAAGCCATCATCTCCCAACCCACAGCACTCGCTGCTCTCAGTAACCAGAGGAGGGGACATTTATCACCTTATACCCTCCAACACACACACACACACGCGCGCGCGACCACACACATTTAATACACACATATGTACACATGTATGCATATCACCTACACATAGACACAAACATATACACAAAACCACACACACATGCATGCACATGCATATGCACATATCACCTGCACACACACATATATACAAACATACTCACATACATACATACATGTACAAGATCACACACATATACAAATACACATGCACACACATACAGGCATACACACACATACAGGCAAGTGCAAACATACATAAGAACACATATCACATGCAAATATGTACACATGTACGTGCACACAGACATACACATCTTAGTGCTTTTAACAACTTGCACAAACACTTAACATGACACTTAAAGTACTGCTTACTGTGATGCTCATCACAATTCTTTTCATCTGTCCCGTTTGACACTCAGTTGGCCAAATTTTTCTATTTTGGAGATCCAGTTCCCATACTCGAATTGTCCCACTAGAAAAAGATTTCACAATCAAATGGCTGCATATGCGATAAGCGAGTGGCCTCTCCTCTGTGAGGAGAAGCTTCAGGGAAGAGAGCTAACTATTTCTGCAGGCTTGTCAAGGTCAATGAGGTGATTTCACACGAGGGCATACATGGTCGAGCAGGCCCGCTCTGAGCCTGAAGACACTTTCTACTCACCACACTGAAAATAGGCAGGCCTACAAACAAGCAAGTAAAGAAAGAGCAAGCCTGAATTTCTTACAAGGTTTGTTTTTTTTTTTAGTTTAAAAAGAGAAGTACTCCAGTGTTCGGGAGTTCCTGGTGGCACAGACAGGTAAGTGGTCAGCTGCTAACTAAGACATTGGTGGGTCAAGTCTGAAGTGCCCTGAGGTACGTCAGAGAAAGGCCTGGCACCCAGCACTGAAAGCCTTACAGAGCACAGTTCTACCCTGACAACCCCATTCTTGGGGATTGACCTAATGACAATTGGCTTTTCCTTTTATGTAGAGACTCTTGTCTTTAAAGAGCAGGAATTAAGATGAAGCAACTCAAAAGCTCAACAAAGTCAGTACCTAACAAAGGTAAGTATTATAGTTAGTATTTAATCAGTGTATGTTGGATTAATCTGAACTGGTACTTGTATAACAATTTCATAGCGAATCACAGTAAAAAGATTCCAGCTAATATTCTTGGGCAGAAAAGAATAGTTGAAAAAGATGTTGATTCGGCTGTTCTCCTTTTACCCCTATAGTAAATGTTCAAGAAACATTTTGAATGCACTTTGTTTTATTTTAAGAAATCCAGTTTTCCCATAGCACTTCTGTTAGATCATCATTTGGACACTGGAGTCGTAGAATGTGTATGACATCTCATGGGACCAATTTCATAAACACATGAAATTGGGACTGTGTTGGGGAACATAGGGCACACAGATGTCACATTTTACTACAGTGTTAACTTCTTCTCAGTTATCAGCATCACATGAAACTGAGGCATACTCTGAATGTAAAACCAATTGTCACTGAGTTGGGTCCGACTCACATGTCACAATTTGTCAGGCTAGAATGATTCTCCATAGTGTTTATGTGCTTGGATTTAATTTTGTTGTTGTTCAGACTATACACGGCAAAGCACATACTGAGTCAACAAATACTTTATGCACAATTCTGTGACCCTGAGGATGTTTTTCAAGCTGTGCAACCATTCTCATCCTCCGTTCTGAGTTGTTCTTGCCTCATTAACTTTAACTCACTGCCACTCTATGGTCCTGTCTAACCTATGGAGTTACTGCTGTCAGTTTCATCTCACAGAAATTGTTGTTAAAAGAATGTAATAATCAAGGCAAGCATTCTTTATCAGTTAAGCTAAACTACTACTAGATTTTAAGAACATATCAGGGGATAACTTTGGTTTAAAGTTTAAAACTAATTCAAGGCATTAGTTTCTGGAGTTGATATAGTCTTTATGGCTACAGTTGTTATGATGGCAGTTTGTAAGAATTTGAAATTATGTTCTGCATTTCTCCCCCTTTTGATCAGGATTCCTCTGTAGAATCCTTTATTGAAATGGTATTAGTAGTAGCTAGGTAATTTGCCATACATTCCATATATCCTCTTCCTATTCTTTCCTCCTTCTTCTACTGCTCCAAGTGAGCAGTAGACCAGTGAGCTAGGAGGTAGACCAGAAGCACTAAACACGCTATTAGATCAAAAGGAACTAAAACCCCTGAGCTATTTGGCTGTACACAAGTAGCCTCAGCAGTTACAAAGAGTAACTCCCTCGCTTCGGGAGTCATTGTTTTAGCAATATTTATCACGTAATTTTTGCCATTTCAACATTTTACAGGTGCACTGTGGCTACTTTCTGCAAGTAAATTATTTGGTAACTTTTCCGCTGTTTATACCACTCAGGAACTTCACCTAGAAAATATAGTCCACTAGATTGTTCATGTGTACCGTCCAGTAGGAACTGGTCCACAGCCAACCCTCCAGTGGGTTTTCAGAGGCAGTAAATAGCATGGAAGGAGACAACTGGTGGATACGAACTGTGTACCTTTTATTGGCAGCACAGCTCCTTACCACTAAGCCACCAGAACTCCCTAAGCATCCTGCTAAGGAGCAGAAATGACCTGAAGAGCAAAGACTTAGCCAAACCACTCTGTCAACGTAAAAAGAATTGAATGACTCTGTAGACACTGGTGGACCTCAGATGACAGAGGAGGATACAGTAAGCTGCCAGTAGGAGGAAATCACTGTCCTAGTAAGATCTGCTCATCAGGACTGGATATCATGTTGACCACACGTACTTTCCAGCGGTAATGAACATCGTGTCCTGGCACCGGGAGAAGATGATGGTGGTGGCATTGCCAACATTGAGGCCCGCAGCGGTGCTGCCACAGATGGCTTCTCTCTTGTCGATGCTCCACACCACAACACTGCCAGAGCAAGAAGACAAACAGGCTTCAAACCCAGCAAACAACTATTTTAGGAAAGTCCCAGGAAAGGGGAGAGGGGAACAAAGAATTCAAAATATTACACCGACCCCAAGTCACCCCTTCAGTAATCCTGGATATTAGAAGGCAAGTGGGAGGACACTTAAAGAAGTAATCTCTCTGTGATGGGAAATGATTGATTATGAAGCTAAGATCCAAGGAGTCTGCCAATCAAGTTTGACAATAAAGACATTTCAGATCTGCAAATCATTAACATTTTCCATCCATTTACTCTATGTAAGAGATTTCTTTGGGGGAAGTATTACAAGGGGAGCAATTTGAAAATATAAAGGAAGAATAAAAACAGAAAAGAAAATATGGGAGAGGATTCAATAGAGGATGATGTAAGGCAGGGCTCTGAAACATGAATGTACACCTGGGGTGTAGTGGATGTATTATTCAAAATTACTTTCCTAGGTCATTGTCTTTGGTATATGTCAAAGCTGGCTGGGCAGAAACATGCAGAGAGTGTATATAGTCTATCCACAAAGGGATTGGCAAGTTTTGCCACTCCACCAGGTTTCAATAGAGCAGGTTAAATGGCAGAAATTGCAAATCTCAGACTATCAAGGAAGAAGATAAAGAGAGGGCAGCATGCATCCTTCAGGGCCAGAGATTTTTGTGTTGGTCAGACTGAACACCTCTCCCCAGCCTGCTGGAGGTCTTGGAGGCATGACATAATTGGCAGGACTAAGAGCTTTGTAATGCTGGCCCAAAGCCATAAAGCTGGAGGCTGTATGGATGCGAGCACACTTTAAAATTTATAACCTGCCCTGTCTGAGAAACTGTGCCGTGTTGCCAAGCTAGGTTTTAACCAGTTAACTTCCATAATAAACTCCACAAATGTGACTGTGGTTCTGTGAGATCTGTGTGCCATTGCAAAGGGTTTCAGACACATCAAGAGAGCAGTAAGAGCTCTGGGTGGTATTAAAACTAGTAGAATAGGCACAGGAGCATGGAAGCCATGTCTGACCTCATGGGAATTGGGTTTGTGTTGTGGATGCTGCTGATGGGGACTGTTCCCCCTTGTGGAGTTAGTGGAGGTCAGATGCAGTTGTCTCCATGTTGTTGTTACTCTTTTACAGCATCCAACCCACTTAAAGAAATTATTAAAATAGACTCATGGGCCCACCTCCAGGGTTTCTGGTTGGGGCTCAAGGTTTTATTTCTCTAATAAGCTCCGGATGACACTGATGACCTGGGGACCAGAGGTCGAGCATGTAAGCTTACATTTCCTTCCTTCTGAGTGCAATCATACAACCTAGTGCCAACGTGATAAAACTATTGCCATGGAGACAATTTTCACCCACGTGCTTCCGAGCTGTGCTCTGTAGTATTATTTTCTTGGCTATAATCCCATAGAAGGAGATCACCTGGTTTTTCTTTCATGGCACTGCTGTTTGGATTCAGAGTTGCAGCATTTAGATCATGACATCACAAGACCTCAACAGCAGGCGAATTCAAACAGCCAACCTTTTCTTTGGTAACTGAGGTCAATAGTGTTGACTTTGTTAATGCTTGTGTCATGCAGGGACATCCTAAAGTGAATATCATTTGGACAATTATACCAAAAATGAAGGGAGAAGATGTTGTATTCAATCTTTCAAGCAAAATATTAAAGAAAAAGGATGTATGTTACATATGTAATCATTATAAAAATATGCACCTGTGTTTCCCAAATTTTCAACATGTAGAATGTATTGCCAAAAGTTGTCTAAATTATCTGGAGAACATTATGCTGAGTGAAATATCCCAGTCACAAAGGGACAAATATTACATGATGCCACTGTTGTAGAATGGGACTGTCCTTGGGGCTGGGGAGAGACTGAGTAAGATGGGTGCAATGATGTGTGCTGCACTGAGGCGGAGGAGGAAGGGAACTGTCTAAAAGAGATATATAACTGGGTGTTTCTGTCATCACAGGAGTCTAGAGCGAGGGCTACATGGTGGAGGGGACCTGGGGGGGGGGTTTGTGGAACAATGAAAGAATCTTTTCTTTTACTTTTCCATAATTTTTGACTCATGTACTTATAACTTGTTAGTCAAATTTGTGTCTTCTAGGTTGCAACACCCCCATGATACATCTTCAAGGATATGAACATGTATGGCCAAGCACAATCAATAAGAGTGGATCTAAATTCCAAAATCAATCTCCATAATAGTCTATGTGTTTCCTACTGCCAAAGGGGCCCTTTAGAGTAGTGAGAGAAGATCTTCACCCTGAAACCCACAGCGTCCCTTTTCAGCAGGAAGTAGCTAAGAGAATACGCCATCCCCTTTTCCTTATGACTCAGGGTGAAGTCTCTCTCAGGGAGGAGTGATAGGGAATGGCAAAGGACACACTGACAAAGAAGATTAATCAGAACTGGCTTTGACAAGCACTGTGGCATTTGGACAAGAACAAACTGGGAGGAGGGTAGAGAGAATGGTGCAGCGGTGAATGAATGGAAACCCAAAATCTCTGTAAATGTTTATGAAAATTAATAAAATATAATTATAGAAAAAAAGTTGTCTAAATTAAAGTTATAACAAAAAAATAGTGAGGAGTAGGGAGCTAAGGGGTAGTATAAGAGACATGTCTTTATTATATTGTGAAATTGATAAATAGCATTTAAAATGGAAAACTGAGAGATGTCATTTGAAATGTTATAATGATAATTATATAATGACCTGAAAACCAAGACTGTTCAAACCCAAGAAAAATGAAGACATAATGTTCACACAAAATCTTGTGTGTGACTATTTGTAGGAACATTATGCATACTAACCAAACAGTGGAAGCAAGGCAGTGCTCATCAACAGATGAATGGCCAGACAAAATGAGGTGTGTCCATACAATGGAATTATATTCAGCTATCAGAAACAAAGTACTGGTACAAACTACATGGATAAACTTTGAAAAATAAAGCTCACTAAAAGAAACTAGCCACAAAAGACCACATATTATAGTATTCCATTTATGGGAAATATTCAGAACACACAATTCCGTAGAAAAAGAAGGTACCTTAATGGTTGCCTAGGCCTGAGGTGGCATTGGGAGGAGTGGGAGGGAATGGAGAAAGACTGTTCATAGGAAATCCTTGCTCTTTAGCACGTCCAAAAGGTCTTTCCCCAGTATAACATGTCTCAATTGTGGACCCAAATAAAATTAAATAAATACTGCGGTCCAGTGGTGATGATTTTTGTTTCTTTGATGTTGAAATGTATAACTCATATTGAAGGCTAAAGGGGTTTTTTTTTATCATCTGCAGGGAGTGCTTGAGGTCTTCTTCACTTTCTACAAGAAAGGTTGTCTTATCTGCATGCATAATGCTGGTTATTGATAAGTCTTCTTCTAATCCTGATACCATATTCTTCCTCATAAAGTGCAGCTTCTTAAATAATTTGCTCAGCATACAGACTGAATAATTATGGATAAAGCATACAATTCTGACACATACCTTTAGTAGACTTGTTGTTATTGTTGATTGCTGTCGCGTTTAGCATGATTCATAGAGACTCTATGAACAACATACCTGAAGCCTTTCTATAACTATTGTCATTCCTCAAAGTTGATAGAGTTTCCAGAGGCATGTGGTTTAGGAAGTGGATGCAGCTCCTGTTTTCATACCCGTATTAAACTGGGAGCTCCACCAACACTGTCCACCTTGGGTAACTGTTACGGCATTTGACATCCCAATGGCACAAGGTTCAGCATCACAGCAATCTCAGCTTACCTCAGTACAGCAAATTGACAGAAGAGTGCTGTACCACTAGAAAAATGTCCCTTCAAAATATAATAGACTTTTAAATATTACATTCCTTTGCAAAGTTAGACAATATAGCATTTTAATTTCTTTTACTGTTTAAATTTTAAAATAAAGATGTCCACATAGAATATTGTTGTTGTTGTTGTTATGTGCCGTCAAGTCGTTTCTGACTCATAGCGACCCTATGCACAACAGCCCTAAACCCTGCTCTATCCTGTGCCAACCGCACCGC